GCACCTGCCCAGCCCCAGGCACCCCCTCTGTGGCACGCAGGGGAAGGCAGACGGGGCGCTGGGCACCCCAGGTGCTGTCAGCCACACGCCGAATCTCAAGGTGGCCAAGGATGGCATGACATGTACTGCAAACATCGGAGCAGGGAAAGGAGTACTCTGGGATTAGCTCACACCTGCAAAACTGCCATTGCTCCCCAGGGCCCAGGCTGCTCCCACTGGGGTCGGTGCAGGCAAGGCTCAGCTCCCCTGGCTTCCTCCCATAGCTGGACATTTGCATCCCTCAACAGCAGAGCCCACTGGCCATCAGGGCACAGCTTGTTTTATCCCACAAAACAGTTTCAAAACACCACACAGCACTACAAACCAGGCACAATTACCTTGTGACAGAACACACACAACTGTGATGGGACAGCTATAGTTTGAGTATCATGAACTCCTCATGCCAGGAGGAAAGAAGGAATAAAACATAGTTCATTTTTTAAAATACCTGAGAAAGAAAACAATGGCAATATTTTGCATTTCACATTTCACTACACACACTCCATTTACTCATGTCTATCCACTAGCAATTCACACTATTGCACAGAGATGCTAAACATCTACCAAGGCACCAGTTGTCCTAAGCATTTTCTTACGTTGTCCACAGGCATGCACATGTGCGTGCCTATAGACAGTGCTGCTTCTCTCAAGGAAGTCTCCCAAGACCATTCCTCTCTGATGAATCATTTCTTAACATAGTTCCTTAGTTTCAGCTACAACTTGAATCTACACATGTAGGCAAAGACACAAAAAACAATTCAGATGAGCCTAAGAAATCTTTTCTGCTTGGCCATGATGTCAGAGTTACAGTGTCTCCTGAGCTTCCCAGAGAACAGAGATCCTGAAGCAGGAGGGAACTGTACATGGTATCTCACAGTCTCTTGCCAGCACCTACGCTCCCAAGCCAATGGCTCTGGGACTTGACTACAGTTAGTTACACAAATTTCCAGAACCGAAGCATGGGTCTGAGCTAATTATAACAAAATTACCTCTTCTGTTATGTTTTACCCCTCTGAAAGAAACTGTGTGCATCTCACGTAACTTGGCTTTCTCAGCCTATCTTCCCTAATCACGTTACCTAAAACTGAACATTTGCTTTACTCAACAACTCTCTTCACTTCAAAGTATAATCCACCTGGCCCCACTGTGTGATGTCCATGTTCAGTGGGTAAGACCAGAAGTTTTAATCCTCTTCAGAATTTTACAAACAAAACCAGCCTTCTGCACTTACATTTGGCCAGAGGTCTGGGAACTACCAGGGTTACAAAGCTGAATACATTTAAAGCAATATTCGTATAAAAATTACTCTGTTAAGTGAAAAACATTAACAATATTGAAACATTACCTCCTGTCTTCTCTCAGTCTTTCATAAACACTACACAAAATGATGCCTAGAGCACCTCCTGGTAAATGGATTAAAATCAAAATTTAAAAATTTCTTTATTCTAGGTTCTTTGGTCCTTAAAAAAAATATGGATTGCTCTCTCTATGAATGCTTGTGTCAGCCCCAGAATAATAACTGCAGCTGGAGGGTGGAGGTTAGTGCAGTAGCTCTCTTACCTCCATGATGGGGTTGGAGGCCAAGACTTTCTCCTCAACATTGGCTTCACTTGCAGATCCACTGACTGTGGCAAAGTACCTCATGGCATACTTAGCAGAGACGGTCTTTCCAGCTCCAGATTCCCCACTGACAATGATTGACTGATTTCGCTCATCTCTGAAACACAAAGATGTGTTAATTACCAGCTGTTATTTCAAGCACAATTATTTTTTGTGCCCCCAACTTGGCAACAACTCTTCCACCATAAATGTTAGCAATGCAGCAGTAACATAAATGCATGTGGCAGAAACAAGGCTGTTAGTCACCAAGCTACCTGAATGGCTGATTGGACTGCCTGCAAGCAGGATGCTCAGTCAGGACTGATGCTGCCACGACAGTCCAGCCAGCCAGCAGAGCTGCTCCAGAGAACCTGGCTACAGTCAAGTACCTGTTACCACTATTCACTACGTACTTCTGCAGCTACTTCTATACAAAGTCTGTGGTACTGTGCTCCACTAAATTATCAGTGCTCGTTAGTAAAGATCATGAATGCCATCTTACAGACAGAGAAATCAACAGCAGAGTCAGCAACAGAAACCTTTCATCCTTCTGATCTAATCACCAGCTTTTCCCAGAATTGTTCTGAATCTGAAAAATTCAAGCAGGGCTGTTCAGGACACAAATAGCAACTCCGGAGTGAAGGTGATCCTTTTGTTGCAAAATAATTTCTTCTCATTTAAAAAAAAATAATCTCCATTTGCTACTAAAATAATTTTCTCTCATCTCAAAGAGGGCTCTATCCATAAACCCCGCCTGTATGACTAAGAAACATAGTACAAAATAACAAGGATAGAAATTAGCATTTATATAGCTTGAATCTTTTAAAACAAAGACCACACATGCTTTATACAGTATTTCATATTTCCAAAGCAAAAGAGGTTAAAGTGAATGATATTTCAAAATACTCATATGAGCTGGGTGAGCTTAACTCTATCTTACATACTGGAATGTGGAGAAAGAAGGAATAAAAACTTACCCCAAAGCTTTACAGAGATGGGGCTGGAACACAGAAAGTATGGCCAAGCCCCAGACCAGGCTGCTCTTACAGCACGGTAACTATGAATGAAATTTCAGGCACGCACACGTTCAGGCAGCACATATACTGCCTGCATGGCCTGCAAACGCCTGCTGAAGCCATCAGCAAGTGCTATGCAGGGGAAGCGAAGAAATATGCATGGAAAAACGATTTGTGGTTTCTGTAGCCTACAGGTTTTCCAGAAGATCTGGGGTTCTATTTCCAAGATAGTCAAAAAAAAAACTGCTGATGAAATGACGAAGCTAAACTACAGATCACGTTGTTACTCTCAAGCTGCCAACTATCTTCAAAAACATCGCCAAGCCCCCAGATAAGAGCACAACTCCAGCATCTACTTGGTGTTCCACAAAGACATAGGCTAAAGGAGCCTCTATTACGCCACACATCTCCAGGAGAGTCAAGGTGGGATTTGTTTAACTGAATGAAGGCATCGATTGAAGCAGATTTTCCACATTTTGGTAAAAGGAAATTACTCGAAATGGCTGAGTGCTGAATTAAATTTAATAGGAAAGTGTTAAGAAGATCAAAGCAACCTAATTTTATGTTCTCAACTTCCATTTAACACTTGCAATAGGTGTGAATGACTACAGCAGAGTTCACACATTCACATACACCAAGCTGTCAGCCTCAGTGAGAAGCTGTGGGAAAGCATAACTATTTAGCTTGAATCCAGGTTGTGTGTAGTCCAGGTTAGAGACTGAACTGACAGAGACGCCAGCCTTGGTCACAGGAAAATGAAAATCCGCCGATGAGACCTCTCATTACACTGGCCATCGACCCTGCTGCACAAGCTCCTAAGGGAGGTCTGTGGTGCCTGGGATGGTTTGCAGTAGCGATGAAGATTCCCAGCTGGGAAAGGAAGCAGAAACACTCTTGCTTCTTCCTCATTCCCCCTCCCAGAGTCCACCAGTGGTAGGTAGATGGGCACTAGGTATAGCCTATAGCTCTGCATGTCAGGAGGTGGCATGAGTTACATGGATGCTCATGGTCAAAAAGAGCAGACGAAGGATGGGGGAGAAGTCCAACTGAAAGCATAATGGCTGGCTTAAATGGGCCAACCGATAACAAAGAAGTTTCCTCTCACACAGACAGTTCCTGCAGTGAGTCAAAAACAGAGAACAATTTCTTCATAGGACCAGCGTTGCTCTCCCTTATTCCTCCTGTATTCTTTCAAATAAAAAAACCCCACCATACTATTCTATATGGTATATGAAACTTCTGGTGTGATTCAGGAGCTGCCTAACACAGGAGATGGGTAACCACACAACAACCTTTTCATTTGTAGAGCACCAAGCTCTGTTTCATCTATTAACTATCATTAAATATATGAAGACTTGGGAAAGTAAAGTCCTATGAAATATATCCTCTGATGATCAAATTATTTTTAGCTTAGTTCCCAAAGCACAGAAGGCTTTCAGAAAACAAAGCACTCAGTCTACATACTTCTCACAAAACTGTCACCAAAAAAACTAACTCTGTTGCCAAGAGAGGAACACAGAAATAAAGGTGTCTCATTCTAACCATCACATCCCTGAAGGACATGTGTGATAGCATGGAAAGTGCATGCTGGTTTTGCAGTCCCTAGTCCCCGCATCGGGAGCTCAGGAGTGGTAGGAAACAATAGACTCTTCAGAGCACTGCAGAGGAGGGAGCTCCACGTTTTCAAACATAGTAATGAAAAAATGAGGTTGAAATAATTTCTTCTTAGGAATTCTGTTGCTAATTAGCCTAGAGTTTCCTTCCCCCATGTCATAAGATAGGAAGACGTACTCTTCTCCTTAGCACTCATCCGTGTACTCAGGAATAAGGGACACATTATTGCCCGACTGTGTAAGCACATATACATACACACTTTTCATATATTCGCCTAGAGAAGATTGGGCTGGGTCTGCGAGAGCTGAAAACATTGCTGCTATCTCTTCTGCAAGGAACAGTTGTGTTTGCAGCAGCTACCGCAACCATGAGAAACAAAGGGCTCACTCATTGTCTGCTGCGGAGTCCTCTCTCATCGCCCTGCGAGTGCTCCATCCATGCTCAGAGCCTCTCTTGTCTTCAAAAGTACATTAGTCCATTGTTTTGCTTTAACACACTGGAGTGACCATTCTCTAGCATATTATTCTTTCTGCTTTTTGGCAGAGAGAAAGGAAAACACAACAAAACACCCAAGATCACACTTAACGTTTGAAGAAAGAGAAATTACAACATCTCAACACCCCAAATACAACAGCGTCAGGGCATGAGCTGTTACTGCCACAACCCCACAGAAGACTTGGCATATGGATGTCCTACCACAGGCAGCAAGATACTTAAGTCTTTCAAGAAGGAGGGTGGGGTAGTCCTGCCAGGCAGCTCTGTCAGCTCAGCAGAGGGCTCTTTTATGTCATTACACTTTAAGGAAACAAAACGCCACATTGAAAATAAAATAACAAGTAAAATAGAATCAAAATACCTTGGATAGTGCATGAAATGCTGTGAGAATTAGTTTTAATGGTTTGGTATAAGCAATGGTCCACCTAAAACAGAACCTCTGCTTATGCAAAATGAAATGTTCATAATGAGGCTGCATTAAAAACAAAATAAAATAACAAAAAAACCCCAAACCAAAACAAAGGAAAAAAATCCCCAGAAAACACAAGTAACAACACCTTGAGTTCTTTCTCAGGTATAAACACCACCTTTGGAGGTATTTTTAGTTACATCATTAGCCCCCAACCTTTGACCTGACATTTTGAGCACTTAACATGTCACCAGTCAGGAAAAAAGCTACAATTAAAACTTTTGGACAATGAAACAAATAAGTAGAGCAACAGCGTTATGTGTGACACGACTTTGCAGCCTGATGCTCCATTCCATCACCTATGCAACACTTCATCTTATTGGAGCTTCTTCTCTGAATAATGCCCATAATTAGACAATTTAAAAATTAAGATTACTTCTGAATAGAGGGAACATTTTAATTATGCTTTTGCAAACAGAATTGAGGGAAAGCAAGCCGGGAGATGAGAAGGTGGGAGAGTCCTCTTTCACCCAAAAGTGGATAATAATCGCATCCTAGGATGCAGAACAACATTATAGTGATACAATACTAAGCCAAATTATCTGAAAAGAGGTGTTTAACCCCAGCAGACTGAAGCAGATTGACTGGGAGCAGTTTACCATTCATGGAAACACAAAATATGTTCAGGTATTGGTCAGGATCACATTCAGCTTCTGCCATTTCTGAACAATGCAGAAGAATAAAAGAATGACAAAATCAAAAAAACCACTTCAGTTCTAAGAGGACAGGCCCGAACACTTCACAAGCTGAAATGTGAAATGATGGCCTGAGACTGCCTGCAGTAGCAGGGGACTTGATTCAGAAGTCTTCCACATCCATTTTCTCAGGCCTATAGTTGAAGCGTCATGTGAGGGTAACAGCTATTTCTTGTCAAATAAAAGAACAGTAACTCACTATGGAATAAATAACTGATAATTTAAAATAGCGTTATCTATCACAAAAATAACGGTGATGTCTAATTTTCAAAGGTAATACTCAGATGCTGTATCCAAGCCATACACAACTCCACTCCTTATGACAAGCAATGGCCATAGCACGAGCAATAACAGTCACTAATTTTTCATGTCATAATTTTGGTAAAGGTCAGAAACAGATATCTGCATATGCTGGTAAATTTTAAAGACAATTTTGCTTTACCTCCAAAATTCTGTTGACAGGCAATATGTTTGTGAGGAAATTCACTGTCAGAGTGTCAAAACAGAATAGATGTAAAGCTACCTAACTCCTGGAAGCTTAACTATAACCTACATTCCAGCAGGGGTTTTTTTACACTTTGAAAAATCATTGCAAAATTCAACACTGAAGATAGCTTCTGCTCAAAGTAGGTTGAGCACTGGGGAAAAAGAGACTGCTACAAACTGACTTGAGATACATTACATGGAGAAAAGGGTTTTGTAGAATATGAATGAAATAACAATGCATAAGAAACCCAAAAGTGGTCTAAAAAACCAAAAAAATCTTGTTTTCAAGATGTGAAAAAAACCTTTGTGGAGGATATGCATGTATCTTAATGCAGAACTTTTA